GAGGTTTAGGATTAGGGTTAGGGTTAGGGCTAGGGTTAAGGTTAAGTTTAGGTTTATGCTTAGGGTTAGTGTTAGGATAAAGGTTAGGGCTAGAGTTAGGGTTACTGTTAGAGCTTGGGTTAGTGTTAGGGCTCGGTTTAGAATTAGAGTTAGGGCTAGGGTTTAGATGAGGTTTCGATTTAGGTTTAGGGTTAGGGTTTGGGTTAGGGTTAGGATTTATAGTTACGATTAAGGTTAGAGTAAAGGTTAGTGTTAGGGATAAAGCTTGAGTTATGGTTAGAGCTAGGGTTATGGTTAGCTTTAGAGTTAGGGTTAGGATTAGGATTAGAGCTATTGTAAGAGCTCGGGCTTAGGTTAGGGTTTAGTTTATGTTTAAAGTTAGGGTTTAGGTTAGGGTTAGGGCTAGGGTTAAAGCTAGGGTTAAGGTTAAGATTAAGGCTAGGGTTATGGTTAGGTTTAGGGTTAGGTTATAAGTTTATGGTTTATGGTTAGGGTTAGGGTTAGAATTAGGGTTAGGGTTAGGGTTAGGGTTAGGATTGAGGCTAGGGTTTTGGTTATATTTAGGGTTGGGTTTAGGGTTAGTGTTAGGGTTATGGGTTAGGGTTAGCGTTAGGGCTAGTGTTAGGGTTAGGGTTTGGGTTAGGATTAGGGTTAGGGCTAGAGTTAAGGTTAGGGTTAGGGCTAGGGCTAAGGTTTAGATGAGGTTTAGGATTAGGGTTAGGGCTAAGGTTTAGATGAGGTTTAGGATTAGGGTTAGGGTTAGGGTTAGGGCTAGGGTTAAGGTTAAGTTTAGGTTTATGCTTAGGGTTAGTGTTAGGATAAAGGTTAGGGCTAGAGTTAGGGTTACTGTTAGAGCTAGGGTTAGTGTTAGGGCTCGGTTTAGAATTAGGGTTAGGTCTAGGGTTTAGATGAGGTTTCGATTTAGGTTTAGGGTTAGGGTTTGGGTTAGGGTTAGGGTTTATAGTTACGATTAAGGTTAGAGTAAAGGTTAGTGTTAGGGATAAAGCTAGAGTTATGGTTAGAGCTAGGGTTAGGGTTAGCTTTAGAGTTAGGGTTAGGATTAGGATTAGGATTAGAGCTATTGTAAGAGCTCGGGCTAAGGTTAGGGTTTAGTTTATGTTTAGGGTTAGGGTTTAGGTTAGGGTTATGGTTAAGGCTAGTATTAGGGTTAGGGATAGGGTTAAAGCTAGGGTTAAGGTTAAGATTAAGGCTAGGGTTATGGTTAGGTTTAGGGTTAGGTTTAAGTTTAGGGCTAGGTTTATGGTTAGGGTTAGGGTTAGGATTAGATTTAGGGTTAGGGTTATAGTTAGGGTTAAGGTTAGTGTTAGGGTTAGGGTTAGAGCTAGAGTTAGAGTTAGAGCTAGGGTTATGGTTAGCATTATGGTTAGGGTTAGGATATAGAGCTAATGTAAGAGCTCGGGCTAGGGTTAGGGCTAAGGATAGGGTTAGGGCTAAGGATAGGGTTAGGGCTAGGGTTATAGGTTAGGATTTTTAGGGGTAGGGTTATGGTTTGGTTTAGGGTTAGGTTTAAGGTTAGGGCTAGGTTTATAGTTAGGGTTATGGTTAGGGTTAGGGTTAGGGTTAGGGTTAGAATGTGGGTTAGGGTTAGGGTTATAATTAGGTTTAGAGTTAGGTTTAAGTTTAGGGCTAGGTTTATGGTTAGGGTTATGGTTAGGGTTAGAGTTAGGGTTAGGGTTAGGGTTAGGGTTAGGGTTAGTGCTAGGGTTAAGGTTAGGTTTAGGTTTATGATTAGGGTTAGTGTTAGGATAAAGGTTAGGGCTAGAGTCAGGGTTACTGTTAGAGCTTGGGTTAGTGTTAGAGCTCGGTTTAGAATTAGGGTTAGGGCTAGGGTTTAGATGAGGTTTCGATATAGATTTAGGGTTAGGGTTTGGGTTAGGGTTTATAGTTACGGATAAGGTTAGAGTAAAGGTAAGTGTTAGGGATAAAGCTAGAGTTATGGTTAGAGCTAGAGTTAGGGTTAGCTTTAGAGTTAGGGTTAGGATTAGGATTAGGATTAGAGCTATTGTAAGAGCTCGGGCTAAGGTTAGGGTTTAGTTTATGTTTAGGGTAAGGGTTTAGGTTAGGGTTAGGGTTAGGGCTAGTATTAGGGTTAGGGATAGGGTTAAAGCTAGGGTTAGGGTTAAGATTAAGGCTAGGGTTATGGTTAGGTTTAGGGTTAGGTTTAAGTTTAGGGCTAGGTTTGTGGTTAGGGTTAGGGTTATTGTTAGAGTTAGGGTTAGGGTTAGGGTTAGGGTTAGGGTTAGGATTGGGGCTAGGGTTTTGATTATATTTAGGGTTGGGTTTAGGGTTAGGGTTAGGGTTATGGGTTAGGCTTAGGGTTAGGGTTAGGTTTAGGGTTAAAATAGAGGTTAGGTTTAGGGTCCTGTTTAGTTTGAGGGCTAGGGTTATTTTTATCGTTAGGATTAGATTTAGGGTTAGGGTTATAGTTAGGGTTAAGGTTAGTGTTAGGGTTAGGGTTAGAGCTAGAGTTAGAGTTAGA